TAATTAAGCTTGTTTTCGTCGCGGAGCGGCGCATTGAAAGGCGGGCGCGTGTTTTCTGATAAGTTATTTTTCTGCGAAAAATTCGCTGAACTTTAGAGACATCATTAATATATATATATAATCGAGACGAGTTGATAATAATAATAATAATAATAATAACAAGGTCCGCGTTCGTGGGTTAGGCAGAGGCTCACGTTCGAAAAATAGGCCACAGTCTCCCTTGGTTACCGGTGGCGAAAGCAGCGCCGGCCCAAGCATGGCTACTGCAATGCCCTCAACAGATGTGAGGAATCAACCTAGCCTTGGTGTTCCTGTGGCAATGCATCCACACACCACAAAGGCTGGAAAACCACGCCAACGGATGTAATGGACGTCAGAAATGAACGAGTTTATCATCCATACTTACTACGCCATCACAAGGCTCGAAACAAACATGACAGCATACAGACAACAACTACACCTTAGATTCACACAACAATATCCTCACCTCACCATTGTTTCCTTGAACATCTTGTACCAGGCGCAAACACTTGTTTTTGATGACAACAGTCATTCAAAAACATTTACATTGTAAAAAGCCTTTTTTACAATACTTTTTAGCAGTAATTCTGTTGCGAATACAAACTTTAATGCACGTTCTTTGCTCAATTACATTCGACATTTTGAAAATAGTCGGAGCAAAATTCTTACGTACAAAATAAGAGTTTATTTGCAACCGAAAACAGAGGACGACATACAAATTGCTGTTACATCTCAATGAGATTCGTTCCAAACAACAAAAAAAGACGACAGCTCCCTTTTGCACACGTGCAGTTTAAATGAACCATTCCCAATACTTTTTGATCACAGTAGGTTGGAAATTTTTCAAACGGCCTATGACAAGTCTATACCTAGTGATCTAATAAGTATAAGATTTTAGCTCATTTATAAATAATTCCTTTGTGAAAATGATCGACATTTATAATTAAAATATTTAAAAGTTAATTATCATCCAAAAATTATGACGCCTCTTTGAAATTAAATCCGAAATAAGATGCATACGTCATTTGAAATTTTTCTGACATTTGACAAAGAATTTTTCTGTTAGTAATAATCAAATTTTTCATAATATCGAATAAGTTACCCAGTTTTAAATGTTGTCGGAGAAGTTAAGTAACTCGTTGCTGGATTTTTATTATTATGAATTTAGTTATTCTTGTAATTTTCGCACGTATTATCAGCAATATGATGATTTTAAAATAATAATAAACATATCTAAATATAAATTTGTAGGTTGTTTTACATTTTATAATGTAAAAAGAAGGAAAACGTTTTTATTTAGGGAAATAAAAGTAAAAGTCAAATATCAGTTTGAACCTTAAGAGTTCATATTTTTATAACTATGAAAGGAATTCTTAGAATAATTATTCAGTTTTTATAATTCTTATTGAAATGTATTTGTAAAGTTTCTTGCCATTATTTTCGGAGAACGTGTAACAGACAAACATTCCGTGACATAATAATAAGCATTATTCTAAGAAATAATGCCGCAAAGGAATGTTTGAACACATCTAAAAAACATTCAATTATTGTTTTTGCTGTGATTCTTCATTGTACAAAATGTGTTCATTAAAAGATAAACACTGAAGATGATAGATTGAAGTCCATCACGCAATTTTAAAAAAATAACACGAAATGAATAAACTTTATTTTCATTCGAAGGTTTGCTAAATGTTGAAAATATTCGAATAAATAAATATTTTGATACGATATTAGCATAGGAATACGAGAAAAAAATATTATAACTGCAATAGGGCTTATAAAAAGCTGTGTTAAAAACCTTCGACAGCTTGTCAGAGAAGAATTACATACGTTGAGCAGAGATTACATAATTAAATATCAGTCTACGACTAGTTTATCACCCCGTACTCCCCTTTAAGTTTTACAGAGGGGATTTTCGAAATACCGTGAACTGTAAGGTGACAAGCGTAACCTTGAATGTCTCTGACACATTCGAATAAAGAATACTTCACAGAGATCAAGGACGTTCCTGTCATATTAACAGTTCAGAAATTACCACTATCGGATGGTTCATCACATCAGTTATTTATAATTAATTAAGTCTCGTGCCAACAGTGACAATAGGTCTCTTATTAAACTAAAGAACTTTTGTAATTGGATCTTGTAATGCTGTAGTAGTATTGGAAATATGAGAAAAAATAACAATATGGTTGTCTTGAGAACATTTTCAATTTAGTAGTCTGTCTGTGAAAGAATTGCGTAGCGAACAGAGGTGCCAGTCGAAAGACCTGTTCGACCATGTTATTTATTACCATGACACAATATTCGAGTATTTGCAAAAATCACGAGTCAGCACTTTACAAAAGTTGACCATAACCAAACGTGATATTCAAAACATACTTGTAAAAATCTGGTGTTTTTAGTGCTACATTTATCATATTTTATTCAACACGAATGGAATTTGAACATGGTATAACAGTCTTACTGTTCTATCGCTATTGTTCGATAAGACTATCAAAATTTCTAGCAGAATTCGACAATCTATACATGTTTTCTTTTTATAAAATAAATAATCAGCTAATTTAGAATATAATACTTAAAATTTAATTTATTGTTTGTTCACTCACCATTTGACTTTTCTTTCCTGCTTATTTCGTTATTAAAGACACTAAACAACTAATTGCCTTCACAATGGTTTCGTTTGCCTTTATATTGCATTTATAAGTTTCCTATATTTGTCCTTGTTCTGTCAATTAATTTCCGTTATTGGTTGTCACGTGTAAATCACATTTACTTGTGTTCTGCAAGTATTATTAGTGTTTTATGTATGTTTCTCCAGTGTTCTGAGCAAACTAATGAATAAATAATCTGGATTTTTGATTTATTTTTTCTCACAGAATTATTTTTATATACAGGTTCTCATTGCTATGTACTGAAGTATGCAATAAATGTTGCAAAGTGCACTATAGAAGTGCAGTAAGAAGTATTCCATCGAATAAAAATAATAATTGTATGCTAATTATTTCATAAACTTAAGAAACAATTTAAGTTAATATAGTTACTAAATTAAAATGTTAATTATTTATTTATTTAAAATTTTCAAAGTAATACCAAATTTAATTTTAAATTACAACACTAGATGGCACCATATTTTTTATATAATAATAATAATAATAATAATAATAATAATAATATAAATTAAAATTACGTATTTTATTTTTGTAGATTTTATTTCATTCGATTTTTTACTCTTTGAAAAGCATGAAAATTGAAATTTGTTATTTTCAAATTTTTCAGGTTTATAAATAAATTTAATTGTTATTATTTCGTAATAACTATTAAGCCCTCAAAGAAAACTTTTTAAATATTACATAAGGAAAAGAGTTTAAATAATAATAATATAGTAATGCANATTTCAAACCATAATAAATATTAAATTAAAAAATTTTAATGTTTATTATATTAAATAATCATTAAATTTTTATAAAATAAACAAAAAATATTTAATAAAATAAATAACTATTTAACTATAAAGAATTGGCTATTAAATAAGGTGTCTCCATCTAGTGTTAAAAATGTAAAGTATTAAAAAATATATAAATTTAGCGTATATTTATTTTTATAATTTTGTTTCAGATAACCTTGCATTGTTTTCGAATTAAATTATAATCATAAACGACAATGTCACGATTAATTATAAATCATTTTTCTTCTTTCCTCTTAAATGTCTGGCATCAATCTTGTTGGTTACTGAGAAAAGTCGCTTCGAGGAAAGTATAATCGGGTCATTCGATAGTAGTAAATAACACAATTTAATGATATTATACTTTAAAAACTATACACTTAAGAGCCATTAGCGTTAAAGTGCTTGTATATTTTCAATAAGATCAGATAAATAGTTATTTATAACAGGATTATAATTCATTATATGCTAGAAAATGTTGTTATTTTTCCTCCTTGAAAATAGGAAATCATCAATCAAATCATCTTCAGAAAGAATTTATCATCATTAATCGATTCTCAATAATCGAATTGATAAGAATTAACGTTAAAACAATAAGAAAAAGTTGAAATTCTTTAATATTCTGGCTTAAGAATAGAGGTCAAGTTTGTATACAATTAAGGTGTGCACATTCTTATATATATATAGTTTTTTTTTTCTTTTTCCTTCAAGATTACCTTAAAGATAAGCTTAAAATTATAAGAGAAAGAATATTTTAATGTGTTAAATCTTTCTACCTTATCGATTTAATGATGTTATAATTCATAATCCTTAGTCAAAACATCATTTGCTGTGGTAATTTCCATATTGTTTCGACATCAAATTGACTTGAGGCTATTAAAAACTAGAGAAAATTACTATTTTAAATTTATGGCTGAGGTTTTAAATTTCTCAACAATAATTTGTCTGAAAAGGAAGCATAACACTATTTTTATGTACTTTTTTAAAAATGGAAACACGAATTAAACACGTGGGTAGTTTACAGAATGTTTTCGTTCAATTTCTTAATACGTCATTGTATGACGTATAATTTACTGATGATATCATCGAGTGTAGAAAACGTCATAGATTCATTATGACGTCAAAAGTGAAAACAAATAGTACGTCATGTGCAAGAGGTTATTTTTTTTTGTGATTTCCGACACAAATTTGTTGCTATTTTTAGACCCTAGTTGTTTCTAATTATAATTAATTTTAAAAGAAATTTCTCACTTACATAATTTGTATTTTTTTTGTTTTTTTAATATTTTAAAAAGTTTAATAAAAAATTTACTAATTAACATCTATAAAATTGTTTTGAAATTTAAATAGATAAAAAGTTAATGACATAAAATTAAAAAAATCACATAAAAATATTTAATGAGATCATAATTAAAAAACATTTTTTTATAAGTTAAAATAGATTGTGAGCTTTATAATTTTTATATTTTGCTGATCAATAAATACGTACATTTATATATATATATATGTTTTTACAAGAATAATAAATTTAATTATTTTTTTAACAGAAGAAACAAATCACATTTTATGAGGCATTGGAAACCTTAAAACAGGTTTGTAATAGTTCTGAAATTAAAAAAAATATTGAGTTTTTATGAAAATATTTTGCTTTACAGAACAGAAAATAGTTAATTTTACATGCAAAGTGCTTTGCAAATAAGAAAATAAATTGTAAGGTTTCTTTCGATATAATTTTCTTCCAAAAGAGGTATTTTTAGTGACTTTATTTTTGAAGATTGTGATGATTTGAATTGATTTAAAGACAAAAATAGCAAAGTTCTTCGTTTAACAATGGTGACAATCGATGTTATTTGGAATGTGACGATCTTTGAAGCTCCTTTTAATGCCTAATGTCTTTGATAATGTCAATCTGAACGATCTTGTCCTCGTCGATAATGTACGCGATTCTTGAAGATTCAATGGGCGTGAGTGTCGACGATCATGTCTTTTACTCCAGCACCAACACAAAACTACCTCGAAGTAGGCTCGAAACCTATTAAAAATATACAGTAATACATAATTAATAATCACAACATCGTGTACATCCTGTCCTATTTTAAACTGTAATAAAAATATGGGCTAGTCTTTGACCTAGATTCTGTGTTAGATTATAGAAAAGTATGGTTTCGTTTACTTTTTTATTTAAAAAAAAATAAAATTCTTATACATAAAATATTTTATATATTTATTCGATATTAGTTAATTTTATTTAGCTAATTACAACAATAAACAATATATAATTAAATTATAACATAATTTGATTATTATAAATTAATACTATAGAGTTAAATAATGTGGATGAAGATGACTATCGTCATCCACATTAAATAACGTGGATGATAATAACATGCATTATTTTATGTTAAAAATGAAGGCCAACGTGTATACACCATCACAATCCACATCAAATCCTTTCAGATATGATATTTGATTTTTAATAATAATACAGGTGAGGATTTGTATAACGCGGCTCGACTATAGAAGAGTTATAATTATCATTACTTATACCAAATTATTTTAGTTAGATACTGATTAAAGCCATGTCATAATATAAGTGACATGCCTTTAAGCAATGTACTATTGTTATAATATAAATTTGTATAATAGGCCTTGTACTGTACAAGTATAATCGCTGTCACCTTCGCTACTACTATCATTCACATCAAATTGTTTTATTGTATCATGGATATTATTGTATATGATAGGCTATTATATACAAGTATACACGTAACATTCCTGTATTTTTATAATGCTAGATTTATAGTATACAAATTTAGGTTTGTACAGTAAAACTAGTATTACTTAGTCTTCTTTATCATATACATCAATTCTTTCAGATACAAGAAGTAATATACAAGTAACTTCGAGTAACGTTTTTGTGTTTTTGTAATACTGACTCATACATAAATGTAGATTCATAGACACGCATTTAGCGTGTAAGTACTGTACACTTGCACTATTCCTATAAGCTTCCAACTTAGAGGAACAGTTCTTGTAATAGTGTAGACAATAATCTTCTAAGCACAATATATATCTAGAAGAATTTCTTGTGGATGTAATCTTGTAAGCTATTGAGAATTTAAAAGAACAAATGCTTTTCTTTTAAGACTGTCAACAAGAATAGATGCTTTCCCTGTTATACAAGAGTAGCATTTATTCTTGTTGTTGGAAGAATCTGTTCTAATGCAAAAACAACCTCAACCACACAATATAGAACTATGAAACATCTATTTTATGCACTACTATATTTAATATAAGAACGTAAAAAATGTTTGTAATAAAAGCACCTACCTTACATTCATCCAATAATAAACAATTGGATTGTACATGGAATTAGACATGGCTAACCAATATATTCCAAGATAAATATGCTGTATGTAATCAGCTTGTACTACATCCTTATCGTGATAAATGTACAGAAAATAGACGTGATACGGTAACCAGCAGATGCCAAAAAGCATTATAACTGTAGCTAACATTTTGACTACCTAAAATAAACATAATTACAATTAATAATAAATATTTTAAAAATAAAAATACAAAAAAATATATTCTCTCTTTGATATTCTCGTATCTTATCAGTAGAAGTAAATACAATTTTGATAGTTTTCTATCCGATAAGAGTATAAATTACATATTTTGTAAGAAAACTTACTAAATAAGATAAGAATTTAATATATTTATTTATTTAATATTTAACAAATAAAATAAAAATTAATATAAAAATAAGAATAAAAATTAAGTAATATATTTAATAAATAGGAGTTTAATATAATAAGAATCTTTTATGGAAAAATACAGAAATATGTTGGATAATGTAAAATAAAATTACTGAATTATTAATATATTTATCATTATAAAATACGGTTTTTTAAAAATAAAACTTAATATTTTTCTTTATAAGTAAAATATACTTTTAAACACCCTCTTACATTATTTATAAAGTAATAAATCAACTAAAACAATACAAATGTTAAAAAAATAAAAATATTTTTAGCAGTTGAACTATAAAATGTTTTTTTTTTTCGGAAGTTTAATTATTATTTTTTATTTCTTTAAATTATTTTATTTTGTAACCCTTCATTAATATTGACTTATGGAAAGTACATTCAGTGCAATAATAATTTTCTTTGAATAGTTGCATTTATATACATTGCATCATATTCGGGTGTAATTACTTTAAAAATAAATAATTTGCATAGAGTAATAATTAAATTACTAAAGAACATTTTCGTATTGAATTTATTATAAAAATTAGATTTAAAACTTTAAAAAAACTGTTATATTTAAACAAAATTTTTGAAGTATATTCAACGGTTTTTTTAATATAAATTTCATCAAAATAAGCTTATCGAGGGACAAACTAACCGACTGATAATTCCTGATGTTTCTTCAGCATTATATCTATAAATATAAGTTGATATAAGCTTAAAGGTGCTTAAAAATAAGATAATAGTGGAGTAAAACGATATATCTGAAGATAGTAAGAAACTTTCAGAGGGGAACCTTCGATAAGATTATGTGTAGAGTGCCAATTTGCTCCGAAGTTTATTCTAAATTCCTGTTTCTCTCGATTAATATTTATACGAACAGGAATATATCATTGTTATTTATGATGCGATGTGCTTATTTCTCAATTCTTCCACACCGTCGTGTCGATACACATCCTTTTTCATCACGTGCTGATTTCTTAGCTTCCTTTGGACATGACCTGAGAGAGGTTACGTCTACAGGCGTGGATGTTGTATGTGGGTTTATGAATTCATTTATTATAAGACGTGGAAGATATTTTATTTTACGATAAAAATATAAAACGTTTAAGGTCACAGTGACTATATTCTTAGAATATTTTCTATCAAATTCAGTTTATTAAATAAATAATATTTTTTTGAGAATATTTTCTAAATCATCACAAATTCTGTTGTATACTTTATAAGTTTTAAATTAATTAGCGATATAAAAAAGAAAAACATTTTTTGTATTCCGTTCATGTATCTATTCTCGAGATTTCCAAATTAAATAATTGAAATTTTTTAAAATTTCAAATAACTCCTAATCACTTTCCATTCAGAATTTTCTACCGAATCATACCTCCCACATACCATACCCCAGAATCCTATTATAACAATAAATTGCGTGACGTCTAATGACGCCATAACTGACGTCATATACGACACCACCGTGACATCACCGGAAACTAGCATAGGTATATTACGTCAAAATTTTCTGACGTACAACACCAACATACAACATATTCTTCATATTACTCACTCACACTAGTGTGAATGAATTTAAAACGTAGACTATAATATTTATATAAAACCATTAATTATTGGACAATAGTTTTTTTTATATATAATATAATAATATACTTTAACGTTTATATGAATAAAATAACAAACATTAAAACATTCTGTCGACTTGTCTGTATCTCCGAAGGACACGCTTTAGGAACCTAAACGTGTTATGTTTCTGGAAGCGTGACCTTGACAGGTACAGTACATTATAAACAAATCAAAAGTATTTCAGTCTGTTTCTAACCATAAGATATAAAATATAATTCGTCAAAAATAATTTTTTAAATAAAAACAAAAACATTTTAACCAATTATTACATTATATATTCTAAGAAAAGTTATTAACATCATTTATTTACCTATTCAAATCATATGATACAGATAAGGCATTATGCGAATTGTTTTACTTTGTTTATTGTACATAGTAACACTATAGTATACTGTTAAATAAGGAATACCTATAATTAATCGTATGCATAATGTTATATACGTAATTACCGTATATCTGCGCAGATAAGACGATAGTTAAAGCATAAAAAAAAACCCAAAATCCGGGGTCGTCTTATAGGACAGATACAAAAATAATTAGATTGACCAATGTATTTAAATAGTCCATACGACGTTTTCGTAAATAGTCAAGGTCCCGAATGCCCGAATCAGTGCGAATGTTTGCAATAATCTCAAGGCAGTACTGTCAGATGTAAGAAAGTAAAATTTGTTCATCGAAAAATTACGAATACGACATAATTCCGTATATGCTATGCAGTATTATTATCCAGATGATGATCACTGATCTATCTGGATAATAAGCTGATCCCCAAACTATCAACGGATAGTTTGGGGGTCATTTTATAGGACAGATACATATATCTGTCCTATAAAACTTTGATGAAAATTTATACCTCTTCTTATCTGAAGGTCATCTTATCTGCGCAGATATACAGTATATAATACTTGTAATTTACATATTATTATAAATGCAGTATATACTTTGCGAATGATTATGAAACAAAGTGTAATAGTAAAGTAACATGCCAATTATTAAAATAATTAGATTATTAAAAATTTATAAGATATTTTAACACTGTAAAATGAGGAAAATTAAAACATCCTGCCGATTGGTGGTCATCTCTGAAGGTACACTTTAACATTCTGTGTACAGTACAGTATACATACAGTATTTATGAATGATATATTATATACACGGTGTTTTATTGTGTGTTATAAATCATATTCAGCTCCATGGAAAATTATTAAAAATCAAAAATATTTTTCAAATTTTTGTAAATCCATTTATTTATTTTTATTATTATCATTATTATATTTATCTTAAATATGTAAAATAGGCTGAATAATTAATAAATTGTGCGCACATTAAGTATATCTTATAAATTTTTAATGCCATGTCTATATTATTTTCGTAAGAATATTCTAATGTTTTTTAAGTGTATTTATTTGAAAACTTTACAAATGAAATTAATTCTGTACGCAAACAAATTTGAAATTAATTTACACGAGAGGAAAGTAAATTGCTGTCATAATTCAAAGATATCGTGCGCTTTATGTTTACACGATTTCTGATAATACAAAAATCACCTACAAAATCGCGTTTTCATTAATGAAAATACAGTATACTCAACATACAATATTTTAATAAAATTATAAAAAATAAATGAAATTTAACCGTTTTCAATAAATTAACCAGTTAATCGAATATGTAAAACTGTATATGTTTCATATTCCAACTGACGTACTGTACAGTACCAACGTACAGTACAACATATTTTTCATATTACTCACTTACACTAGTGTGAATGAATTTAAAACGTAGACTATAATACGTCGACCCCCCTATAAAACTATTGATAATTCCGTTTTATATGAATTACATGTTGTACGAGTCACTTAGATTTTACAAATACGTGTGCCGGGCTGTGAACGGCTGACGTATTTGTAAAATCTAAGTGACTCGTACAACGTGGAATTCATATAAAACGGAATTATCAACAGTGTTATAGGGGGCCGACTGTATTTAGATGAAACCATTAATTATTGGATAATAGTTTATATATATATATATAATATATATTTTGAAAATCAATACATTTGAAAATCAGTAAGATACTCCGTAATTTCTATTCTGCAATGTTTACATAGGTTGAAAAGTAGAAGAAATTAGGATATCATACTTAAATCATATAATAAAGGAAATGATATTTCATATGGATTATGTAGTTTACCTAATCACGAAAAAAGGTGAGATAAGCTGTATCATGTATAACACCTCTAAGTTAAAGGAGATATATTAAATGGACAGCAGATAAAATGTAACTGTATCATATTGAATGAACTATAAAGGGAAAGAAATGGATCGTAGATAACAAGAGATATCTCATGTGGACGATATAATACAAAAACTGTGATGAAGCGATATTTTGGTTTCTTGCACGAACTGAAAACTAAAAAAGTGGATCGAGGATAGTGAGAGATATCTCTTGTAATAATAGAACAAGAGATATATCACGTAGGTTATACAAGAAAGATCAAAGCCATCTTATATGGATTATCGAGTATAAAAGATAAATCGCGTGGATTATAGCTTAGAATACAGAATATTTTAAGTGGATTACATTTGATAAAGAAGATACAGTTAGAAGAGCATACCTTAATTATGTTTATCCGAGGTTTCAGTTTACACCACAAAGATATATTTGGACTTTGAAATCAATACTTTACGTAAAGAATATCGACTAAAACAGAGATTGTTCTCTCTTTGCTATAATTTGATAAGAATTTTCAATATTTCATACCCGTGTAATTATACGTCTCTTTAGTAATAATAAGAAAATTTTCCAATAAATTTACAAAGAAATTTTATCTACAAAGAAATATATAAATATAGGCCTATATTTCTTTTCTGATTTTTATTTCAGATCTACAAGTTCTTCTATTATAAAGAATATTTTGTAATGTATACAAAGTGGTCCAAAAGTCAGTTAACCATTAAAGATTAATTAAATTACTGTATTATGGATATACATTATTACTGAGAAAATTGTAATTACGTGCAGAATATTTTAAAAAGGCGATAGTTTAAGTTCGACAATGGTTAACTGATTTTTGCACCAACCTATATATTAAATTAGTGTCTATTGTTACTATATCAATGCTACTAAAATTTATATATTTTGC